CCTCCACCACCGCCACTACCACGACCACCTCGGCCTCTTCGCTCACTCTCTCGCTCTCTCTCTCGTACACAAACCGAGCGCGATCCTCGTTACTCCGCGCGAGTACAGTGGTGGTGGAAGTCGCAACGGAACTTCAGTGCAGCTGCGGCAAGCAGCTGACGCGGAATCATTTAGATCTGTAGTAGAGTTCGCGCCGCGTACGTGACACGACACGGGACGTAGCGCGCGGTGGACACGGCACCGGTGTGGACCGCACCGCCGCCTCTGAGGACAGCCCCGGGATTCGCGCGTTTTCCTACTCGCCGCAAATGAGAACGCATCGCGGGTGTACGCGCGAGGGAAACGTTCCTGCTGCCGTTTGTGCTTGCATCACAGTCGCGAACAGTGCGGTGTGTCGTCGCTGTTGCGCGAATACACGGCGAGGTGCATCAGTAGCTGTCCCGCGATCACGACGACGGAACGAACTGAGGAGAGCCGCCGAGAAAACTGTAAAAGAGCACGGCGGTCGAACGCGCGGCGACAAGTGTGCGCGTGCGAGCGCGCCGACGAGGGAATACTCGCAGGTGAGTGCAAGAGATCGCTCGACGCGTTCGCCGGGGGGTATCCACGTCTCGCGTCAAGAACGAGATCCTCGAGGATACCCCGAGGCACGATACGGACTGACTGACGGACAGACCGACGGAAAGAAACTGATTGTATCCTAGGAAAAGTCCCGTCAAGAAAGTCGAAAATTCAAAGATAATAACAAGAAAATGGAAAGTAGTATAGAAAGAGGAAAATTATACAGAAACTTCAGCGCATAAGACAAATCTGATGTAACAGACAATAGTTAGACATATTGAAAGTTGAAAAAGTCATTGAGAAATGAATTCGAATTACATCGTATGTAAAATATGTCACAATACTACTGTGTGTTGCTAAATTCTATATTTTAATATAAAATTAATTATTCACATTTAATGTGAAATTTTTAAGAGCTGATAAAGCGTCTATTCGGAGAAACTTTCTTTCATAAATCAGCCACGTTAATATTTGAAGGATCTCTAGTGGAGCTCGGCGCGACATATAGGGATAATTAAAGTATCGGGATGAGGATACGGACGAACAAAGAGAGGGAGCGAATGACGGGATCGAGAATGCGGATTACGGCGTGTGATGGATGGATCGGCTAGCGAGCGGATTTTTAGCACGTGATATCACCGAGAGGAAAGAGAGCCGCGAGAGTGCCGGATCTTGCCAGTAAACACGTGCGAAGGCGACATGTGATTTGGCGACAGCGCGTCTTCAAATCGTCGCGAAGCTTCGATTTGCAAATTTTTGCGAGACATTACCTTTCTTAACTTGCTCAATCCGCTTCTAGAGAATGTGTATTTTTATTAGACATTTATTACTAAATATATTTATTGCCACTTTAGAGAGATCGTGAATTTTCTATTTTTCTCTCCGAGGATGACATTTATAATCTGAACGAAAGATACACATTAAATAGGAATTGATTTAAACATTTAACATTAAACGATGAGGTGAACGGACTACTAAGATTTTATTCACCTTGCGATGCGCACAAAATACTTGCTTACTTGATCGAATTTTAAATTTGTGAATTAAGTTTACGTCACGCGCGTCCGGCATTTCGACGAAGCTTACATCTACAGAGCATTTAACGTCAGTTTTGTAAACTCACGAGCACAGCGGACAAGTTCCGCTGGCTTATCAGCTGTTCTGTCGGATTCGTATCGCGCCACGTGCTCGATCGATCGATCATGAATGAGTGCGGAAGCACTTTCAGAAACGATTATTGCTGAAGCTGGCCTGAAGAAATATTTGAGATATCGTGTAGATACGAACGGAAAGGAGAACACGTAAGTTCGGTCGTCACGAAATCAATCGTCAAATTGTTATCGATTTTTATGACGTTGGAATTCTTCTTATCTAGCAATAGTATCTAAGAATTTATATAAAATGGGCTGTGTCTCCAATTTCTCTCTAATAGAATACCTCTAATCCGTTATCTTTCTTGGGAAAATATAGAAGTTTACGAGTAAATTCGAGCTTCTTATAAAGGTGAAGCTAATAATGATAAGAAAAAAATGTAATCGAGCGCAATTATCCGATTGAATCTATCAAGACAGGTAAGAGATAATTTACTCGATCAATGGAAACAGAGCGATCAAAGTATAAACCACACAGAGATTCAATGGATTAATCAAGCTAAATCGATAAACGAATAACCATTTAATCGACGACGAATCTCGACCGTTTCCGATCACTTGAGAACAATGCAAAATAATGAAATAATTGCGAAACGAGTTATTTGGTTTGAACAATTATTTTCAAATAGCTACAATTTGAAGAAAATTAGCTATTGTCCGAACAATACAAGGCTAATAAAGATGATACAATTTCGTTCAATTATTTCACTAAAAATAAGATAATGAAACTAATGTAACTTCTCAGGGATGTTTCAGTATAACAGTATCAGCTCTTTCAGTGCAAAACAATTTGAGTCAATGTTGGAAAGTATCGCATTAATCATATTTAATGTCTCACCGTGTGATGTCTCCTCAAACAATATCGCGTAGAATAACCACAGTGGCAAATGAATGCGATTCCACTGTTATCCGAAATATATAAGATTACATCAATCTACTATTCATTGCAATTGTACTTATTGTGAGCGATATTTTTCAGCGGATTGAGCGATCCCGACAAATGTCGCTAATAGAAATACATCTATTTATATCAGAAGTCTGCGTTATTGCGACTCAATCCCATCCCCGTAGCTTACACGCGTGTGTGAGCGCCAACACACACCACATACCGAGCCCTTCCTCGCCAGCACGCACCTGTTGTGTTGTCGTTCTGCCGCGGCGTGGCTGCACGCGACAGCTCGTGCCACTTACTTCCAGTTACCTCTCGGCAGTACGAGCCGTCGGCCGCCGTCGCTATTTCTCGCGCTGAATTGACGCTGCCGTGGTACCGCTCGCGATCTTCGACATGGGGAGAGATTAATCGTCCGCCTCATTCCCGCGATCGGAAGCCGCCGATCCAGGTAGAATATAACACAATAGAATAGAGCTATCACGATGCGCTTATCACACGGGCGACTGAAACGATATCAATCTCGTTCCGCGAACGGGGGGGAGTGATATTTGGTAGCCTAATTTTCGTTCCTCGAAATCGTGGATCGACGTTTGTTTTCGTTTCACAGATGCGGGGTATTGATTTTATTTTATCTTGGTTCCGGAAGTAGGTCCACTGAGATAAAAAAAAAACAGAGGTGAATTGTTTTGTGAAGTTCGAATCGTAGTTATTTCGCGTATTGGAAAACACGATTGTAGCTACGATTATCTAAAACGCTGTAACGAATGAATCATAAAACTAACACATCTTCTATAAGGAAATAACGAACATAAAAATGGTAATACACCTCAGCGTCATCTTTCTAACGGTAAGTGACGTTAACTCGGCGAAGAAATAGCCTTTTCTCTTATGAATACCATTTGAATATCGTATAATTTAATAAAGATCAAAGAGAAAAATCGACTATACCGTTTCAAAACGCAAATAGTCAATTGATAGTTAAATATTTTTAATCAACATAATGGAATAACAATAAAACAGGATATTCTAAGTAATTGCTACTAAAGACGTAAACAATAAATTATATTTTCTTTTCCGTAATTAAAACAAGATGAATTCTCTGACGCTATAGATACAAGAATAATTCCGTTTTTTTTTATTCGTAGTATAAAGAATACTGCTAAAATACAGAAACGAAAATTTTTATCAACACCGGATTTAATGACCATAGAACACTGACTTAAAGATACGATCGAGGAGGAAAGAGATCGCGATCTCCCGAGGACGATCTTGCGAGAGCAGCTTCTTCCTTGGAGGCCTCGGGACCGAGCGACCAAGGAGCGCTTTATTCCGATAAAGCCGCGCGAGCGAGCATGCGAGGTCGAAGTTTTCTCCCTCTCTCTCTCTTTCGCTCTCACCGTCTTCCTCTCGCTCGCTTGAGAGGAACCTGCCGCTCTATCTCTCTATCTTTCTTTCTCTCGCCTCTCTCTTTCTCCGCGCCTTTCGACTTATACACGGTTTCTCTCTTCGGCTCAATCGCACGCGCGCGTCTCTTGAACGCGCACAAATGCGCGGTTTTGTCTGACAAAGGGAAGGCCAGCAGCGACTTGTTGACAGATTTTTCAGAAAACGAAGAGTGTGAAATGAGAAGATACGAGATGATAAATTGATTCGGTAAAATATTAGTCATTCTCGAAGGAAACATGATACATCAATTATTCACTTTTAATGAATTGGACTTTCATATATTCGGCAGTGATATAAAAATTGGCGAAATCGTATCACTTTCAACGTCTCAAAATAATTTTGGAAATAAAATAATTCGTAATTTATAATACTGGAAGTATCGCAACAAGATATAAAAAAATATCAATTCTTATTTTGATAATTATATCAACCTCTTCATTTATCATTTTTTGCCTTACTTATCGCGAATCGCACATACGTCAGTCGATGTCATCGACAGGCAACCGGACGCGCTTAAGGGCTAAGCAGCCGCGACAAGTACGAGAAATTATCCTGACATCCGTAAATCTCGACGCTAACGTAAAAAGGAAGCGGATCGTTGTCGCTGACTCTTCATTATATCGTTCGTTGTCCACATCCTTCCACATAACTGGTTCTCTTTTTGCGAAGCTGTGCACGGGTCATGATATTGCCCGCGAATCTTAATTATCGATAGCGATATTGCTGACCGATATTGACTCGTAAATATGCAGATTATAAAAAAAGCAAAGAAAGATCAACAAACATGATATAAAAGTAATATATCAGCAAAACTAATTAAAGTTGAATATACTTCGAAAGATCCGATGCATTACTCGGGCAAAAAAGAAGATATTTAACGTATTTTTGTTACACCTTAATGTATCATTTTTTGACATTTACATTTTAATTTTCGCTTTTCTATTCACAGTAATGTTTAAAACATTGTAATAATAGCTGCGCGAGTGACGCAATGGAAAAGGAGGAATTTGAAAAATTGAAGCAACAAGTAGTTTCCACCGAGTTGACGCATGGTGCCCGTAATTCGAGACGCGATATGCGTCTCCGTATCTACCGTTGATATTTTCCGATCGGTCAAGGGCTGCGCCGTCATGTTAGCTCGCATATATATTGGACATTTGCATTTTAATCTAGAGACTTCAATTAAGCAGTAGCGAGTTCTATATCTTAAGGCGAAATGGCCTACGTCGTCAAGCTATTGTTGCGCGGTGAAATTCGTGCGGCTTATCGGAATCTTTTATTTCACGTCTGTGCCGTACAGATCTCAATTCGATCCTCATTGTCATTCAACAATCCTAACCGTCAACGGTATTCTACCGAATGTCAATGAGACGATTAACAATAACGTTGAAAAATTTAAGTCAAGGATTTCGCTATCACGTGTCGTCTTTTCTGTAACTTAACATTTCGTAATTTTGCTTTTTTGATAATAATTTCGTTAACTCGAAAATAAAATTCAAAATTTTACTCGTTT